TGTTCCAACAGGCCAATGAAGGCAGCAGAAGCAGGTGCTGTGGAGCATTTAAAGGTTAGTTAGGACATGGAATATGCCAAGATCATCCACTACATCCCAAGCCATTGCCAGTCATCTTGTCTTGCCACTGGGCTTCAATGACTCTGGAAGAGAGAGTGAGGCCAATGACTTGGAACAACTCTGCCTCACTTAAATCCAGTTTATATGAAAGTCAAAACTCATCACTCATATCATTTTACCATTTACCATTTTACTATTTTATTATTTTACTCCTACTTACAGTCCTAGGGTGATAGGCAAGTGACAAAGCAACAGGTACAGATACACTGGGAGCTGTAGTCCCAACCCTGCACACAGGCAGCCCCCTGGTTGTCTGAGCAGCTTTTTTAAGGACCACACTGCTCACCTCCTGGCATAAGGAAGGAGCTAGAAAAAGTGCCCTAAAAATTGTCTGCTTTGCCTAACCTAGCCCTTGCCTGCTCACCGTAGTAGGCAAGGATCGTATCCTGTGGCTTAAACACACACAAAAAATGTATAAAAACTTTTGCAGAGATGATTCCACTAACCACTGGTACATGTAATGTGTGCATACTTATGGACAACACAAAATCTAGTAGACTTTAAAGACAAACACCTCTTGTTGTGAGAGAACTCGGCAGATATCACATCTCAATAGCATCCCCTGAGTGAAAAAGGGCTGTCAAATGAAGGCCAGCTTACCGAGGTCAGAGCTGAAAACACATTTTTCTGGAGTGGCCAGTGATGAGAAGCACTGTGAAGCTGGTAAAATTTAATAATCTAATCTAGTAAAACTCTTATATGCCTCCCAAAAGGAATGAAAGGCTTATGACAACATGACTGCCACTTGCTAGAAAGTGCCACACAACCATCCTCAGTGTGGATGCTCCCACCATGACGAACTCTGATGAAGTCAAAGAAAAATTTTATGAACACCTGGAAGACCCTCATCATCAATGTGCTGAAAGAGGATGAGCTTGTAATTCTGGGTGACTTTAACACCAGAGTGAACATAAACCATCAGATGTGACAGGGAGTCCTTGGGAGGAATGGAGTTAGAAAGAGCAACAGCAACAGTCACCTCCTACTGAAGACTTGTGTGTTTCATGACCTCATCACCAACACTATGTTCCATTTACCTAAATGCAATAAAACTTTGTGGATGCACCTTCACAGCAAACACTAGCATTTAAAAGACTATGTCATTATAAGGAGAAGAGACAGACAGGATGTGAGAGTGATGAAGGCAAAGTCCACAGTGATGAACTAATCATAGACTTAGCCTCTCCAAGCTAAACTTTCATATTCTGCAAAAGAGAAGCCTCAAAGGTAAGATGATTATCAGAAGACAACATCAACAGATTAGAGTGCTTCTCCCTGGGAACAGTTTGTTGCTGACTTGGAGGGAAAGCTGAGCCAAAACATCAGTAACAGTGGAGCAGAAAAGGAGCAGGCAGCTTTCAGAGATTTGGTATACAGCACCACATTTACTCATCTGGGCTAGAACACTTGCAAACATCAGGCTTGGTTTGACAAAAATAATGAAGAAATTCAGAAGCTACTAAATGAAAAATAAGAACTCCACAGGGTTTACCAGCAGGATAGTTCACTCATCTCTAAGAAGACAGCATTCAATTTCATCAAGAGTAAAATTCAAGGGGCAGCTAGGTGGCACAGTGGATAGAGCACCGGCCCTGAAGTCAGGAGTACCTGAGTTCAAATCCGGCCTCAGACCAAACACTTGGCACTTACTAGCTGTGTGATCCTGGGCAAATCACTTAACCCCAATTGCCTTAAAAAAAATAGCTAACCAAAAGTAAAATTCAAGGGAAGCTTTGAGAGATGTAGGATTCTTGGCACAGTAAGAAGGCAGATGAAATTCAGTTTTACACTGATAGTAACAATCAAAAGTGCTTCTATGATGCCCTAAAGGCTAGTTATGGGCCTGTGATTTATGTATGATGCATCTCAACTACTCAGCATTGATGGAGCCACACCAATCAGTAATAAGGGCATGATCCCTTAGAGATAGGCTGAACACTTCCATAGTGTTCTCAACAGACCACCATCAATCAATGCTGAAGCTACTGACTGTATACCTTACATTGAAGTCAATCCCTCTTTAGCCGAACTTCCAACTGAAAAAGAAGTTTTGAATGCCATTAGGCTCCTCCAAGTGACTGGTGCTTATTCCATTCTAGCTGAGGTTTACAAGGCAGAGGGCCCACTGCTCCTACAAAAGCTGACTGAAATCTTCCAGGTTAAATGGCAAGAGGAGGTTATCCTCTAGGAGATCAAGGATGCCTCCACTGTCCATCTCTTAAAGAAATAGGTTGTCCTGTGACAATCACAGAGGAGTCTTTCTCTTAATTACTGCCAACAAGATTCTTGCCCGAGTCCTTCTTAATAGGCTGATCCTTCACCTAGAAGATGGTCACCTACCTGAGAGCCAGCATGCTTCAAAAAGGGCTGAGGAGTGGTTGATATGGTGTTTGCTGCCCAATAACTCCTTGAGAAAATGCAGGAGCAGAACAGAGGTCTGTACACAATGTTTGTCTATCTGCCCAAGGCCTTTGATGCTGTTGGTCATGAGGGCTTGTGGAAGACTATGTCAAAATTTGGTTGCCCAGAGTTCATCAGTATTGTATACTAGTTTTATGATGGCATGCTTGCATGAGTTCTGGATAAAGGACAATGTTCTTATACTTTACCAGTCATTAATGGAATGAAACAGGGCTGTGTGCTTGCTAACATGCTTTTTGGCATGATATTTTCAGCAATGCTGTCAGAAACATTTAATGATGATGAAAACAGCATCAAGGTCAGCTACTGTACTGAGGGTAAATTATTTAACTTGAAAAGGCTTACAAGCCTAGACTAAAGTGAAGGGAGAGTTGATGCATGATTTTTTTTTTGTTTACAAATGATTGTGCCCCCAGTGCAACCTCTGAAACTGAGATGCAGCAAAATATGGATCTATTCTCTGCTGCTTGTTCTAGTTTCAGCCTAACAATTAACACCAAGAAAACACAGGTTCTCCACCAGCCAGCACCACACAATCCAAATATGGAACCATCCATTACAACAAATGGAAATTTTGAATTCTGTGGATAAGTTCACTTACCTTGGCAGTATACCTTCCAGGGATGTACATATAGATGATGAGGTTGACACATGCATTGCCTGAGCTAGCCCAGTGTTTGGGAGGCTCCAAAGAAAAGTATGGGAGAGAAGTATCAGACTGCCTATCAAACTGAAGGTCTACAGAGTCATTGTGCTCTTTTGCTGTTATATGCCTGTGAAACCTGGACAATATACCAGCACCATGCCAGGAAAACTGAACTGCTTCCATTTGCATTGTCTTAGGAAGATTCTGAAGATCACCTGGTAAAATAAGGTACTAGACACTGAGGTCCTTTCTCAAGCTAAACTGCCAAGCATTCAAACTACTACAGAGAGCACAACTCCAATTGGCTGGCTATGTTGTTTCAATGCCAATGTACGTTTACCTAAAAGACTGCTTTATGGAGAATTCATGAAAGGAAGGTACTCACTTGGTGGTCAGAGGAAACAATGCAAGGACACTCTCAAGGTCATTCTGAAGAACTTTGGAATTGATTGCATGACATGGGAGACACTGGTACAGAAGAGCACAGCATGGCATGTTCACGACAAAGAAGGTGCTATGCTTAATGAGCAAAGCAGAATTGTAGTAGCTCAAAAGAAACGTGAGATGTGCAAATTCAGAAACATCTCCACTCTAAATGTTCATATGGACTATTTGTGCCCAACCTGTGGTAAAGCATTCCAAGCTCATATGGTCTGATCAGCTACAATCAGACACACTATACACTGACCCCAACATATAATGTCATTTTAGTCCTTTTCAGCCATTATGCAACCTGTAGGGATGAAGAGGTCTAGGACTTTTGGGGTGCTGCTGGAACCCCAAGATTGTGGTACTGGACCCTGTCTGAAAGAATTCAACTCAAATCTTCTTCAGCCAAAGGAAAAGTTTATTAGTGATAAAACACTTAGGGCCAGGTGACACCCATAAGGATGAGCGGGCATGAGACGTTATCAGCCTTGTGGGCCTGAGATTCTCAGCCCCGAATTAGGGCCAGGGTAGATCTTATAGACTTTGGGTGACCAGGGAAGGGTCTGGGAAAACGGTCTGGGAAAAGGGTCTGGGTGAGAATTCCCAGAGATTGGAATGTCTAAGAGACTGAATAGACAATGGGAATAGATAATGAAGGAACTGAAAGGTATCTTAATGAGATTAAAAGGTAGGCTAAGGCTTTCAAAGGGAGATGAGGGGCTGGGACCTGTAGACAAGGGCAGCCAGATTCTGAAGACCTCGGCTTGGGCCACACCCCATCAGGGACCCTTACATATGGTTTAGTGGCTTCCTTTTCATTTGAGTTTGATGACACTGTTCTATATACATAGTCTCCCATCTCTGAAAAGAAAGCACATTCTTACCCAACTTCTCTGTCCCCCTAAAATAAACTTTGAAGTTGTTTACCATGAGATAAAACAGCACTGAGAAAACCCAGAAGTCCTAGCACACACTAACCTTGTTAGCAAGACAGTTGTTTCTGCTCATTTTTATCTTATTTTACTTTTCCTTAAGTAATTGGTGTGTATCTTATTTGTCCAATATAATGGGCCTGGAAGCTGAGTTTCACATCTTTATTCATCATCCCTTCCCAGGGCTACCTGTTCTTGTGTTGAGATGGATCTGAATTTATTCAAAATAATTTTGTTTCTGTTAAAATTTTCCAAAAGCATTCAATAATAAAAGTGACTATTAAAGGTATGACTAACAAGGTACACAAAAATCTTCTTCAAGTGATGCCTGACAAAATAAAATTATTCACTGATATATAATCCTGCTCAGTAATATATAAGACACTGCTGGTTATCTCGAAGTGAATAGTAGATATATATTTGTACAAGAGCTAACACAATTTTCACTGTACCTGAAATCGCAAGCTGTGGTTAATTCTGCTCCTCCACCCATTGCTCTTCCTTGAATCAAAGCAACACTTATTAAAGGCAGCCTACATAATGAAGAAAAATAACAGTATTATTAATGCATTATTGTTTTATACTTTTGAATGGCAATTTACAAATCCTGCATCAATACCTGAGAAGATTCAGTGGGACAGCTAAATTATTACAGTATGTTATAAGCAGAAACAACCTCCAAAAGACAATGAAACATCGGGCTTTCACTCTGGTGGAAGGGGAGGGGAAAAGAAGTGGGAGAAAGTGCAACTTAAAATTCATACTAAAATTACTGTAATCATTTTCCCAAAATAGACTGATATTCTGCAACTGAGCATATGGAACAACACTAAAACTTAGTTCCAGAGATATCTGAGTCCTAGAACATCAAACTGGAGGAAGGCACACAAGGAACTCAGAAAAATTCATTGTACCAATACAAAGTAATTCTTTTACAAAATGCTCATCTTTTATAAAGGACTGCTGTCCAATATTATTAATCATTCCAACTCAAGTGAATAGATCTTTCCAACTCAAATGTTCAGGGTCAACCATGATCGAGCTAAAGTAAGGACTTAGTCTCAGCTGCCCCTGAGACTTCTCTTCAGTCACCCAGGGAAACAATTGCATATGGCTAAGAAGAAGTCCCAGTGTCCCTGTCCATATTCTGTAATCTGAAAGTGAGGCCAGGAAAAATGAATCAGTATTCAAGAACATGAATAGGATTGTGCAAGTGTGAGCTCCACAGGTAAAAAAAGAGTAATCTTCAGATAGAGTTTACCCCTCAAAATACAAAGTGCTAGGTTAACCAAAGTGCTAGGTTACACCCTGCCCCCCCCCCCCGCCCCTCTATTCCCATCCCCACATTTACCCCTTCATTGATGAAAGTCCTAGCCATTGCTTTGCTCAATCAAGCCCTTTCTCTTTGTAAAGCATTTTCAAGCCAAACAGCTCAGTCATTGCTTCCTCCTTCATCATCATAGCATTTATTGGTACAACTCTTGGCAATTAATTCTGGAATCGCCTCAAGGTAGATCTTATATGAATATTTCCTTATCTTTACTTAGCTAATCTTCTAGGTTCAGAATAAACATGCCTTATACTTCTTTATATTTCCATTGCTAAATCCATTGTTTGTACACAAGTATGTACTCACTTGCTGTAGTACTGACTGTTCATTACCCAAAGTTATTTTAAATGATAGTCAAGTCTGCCAAGATAGGTGTTCATCACCTGCCTTAGTATTTTTCAAAGACTGATCTGTTTTTAATCTTAATGCTAGTAGTAGAGTTACAAAGAGTTATTTCTAGTAGCCTGGAGCAACCCCATAACAAGGGAAAGGATACTACCTCATAAATCTTGTTAAGGTGTTTTGCATAAACATGCATAATTGGACTCCATCCTACAAGTAAAAACAAAAACAAAGATAACATACAATTAATGTAATTACATTATAGAGGGAAAATTGTTTTTCTGAATTTGAGAATACCAAAGTTGTAGAGCTCAAAAGTGAACCTGACTTTTCTCTATTTTGCAAACTTTGTGTAGATCACATAACAAACAGCATTTCCCCCAAATAACTGCTTTCATGTTTTCTCAAGTAGAATTATAGCTGTAAACTGAAAACCAAAGAAGTAAATGTATATAAAATAGCTAAGAATGATAGGGGCTGGAAAAATATGTTGATTTTTATTAATAATAAAATAATTAATTTTATTATTTTATTAATAATAAAATTATTCTGATTTACATAAAGAATAGATTCTTCTTAATCATCCAATCAACAAGCCATTTCTCAAGTATCTAATAAGCAGTGGAGACACAAAGACAAAAGCAAAATATTGCCTGCCTTAAGACCTTAAACAACAAAGGAAGGAAACAAGCCTACTATGTGCCACTAATATCTGGTCTGACTGTACATAGGCAACTAATTCTGATACAAGTTCCACATCTATAAACAATTGTTATTTGTATGTTGATTATAGTAGATTTCAGTTTTTATGATTTTTTTTTGGTACTTGCCATAGCTAACACCTTTTGACTCTTTTTTTGAAGAAAGTTCTCCTAAACTACAGATACGAAGTTTCTGAGTTGTCAAAAAATGTTAAACCTCTTTGGTTTCTTAGTCTTGAATCAAATTTTCAAACACACTTCATGGTAGTCTTTTTATTTATGCCTGTCATGAGTATTCCAAGACAAGATGACTGTGTCCCATAATGTGATACTGCTCATTTCTTAGTCCAAACTTAAAAAAAAAAAAGGAAGCAGCAGAAAGGAGATAGACTTATTCTCCCCCCACCCCCCCACCCCATCTTCAAACTGTTCAATCTACCAAAAAACTATACATCTTGATAGCCTATATGATATCATTAGTATCAAAACAGTATTTACTTAGGGTAGTGGATAAAGTCAAAACAGTACAATAAATACTTTTTCTAGTTCTTTTCCCACCTTTCTCTATGCCCTACTCTAAACCTTTTCAAGATTAATCCTTGTATTACATAGAATATTTTGCTTCTCAACTGAGGATTATTTACCTTCTATGAATACTATCAGATATCATATTACTCTTTGAACAAGTGGTATTACAACTAATTCAACTTTCTTAAACTTAATTTTTAAAGCCTCTGTGAAAGAAAATAAATTTATATACTGATCTTCAAACAAATGATATTAGAACTGAACCAATTCATTCTTAAGCTAAAATAATCTGGAGGAGGCAGCTCTTGTAAAATAATGGAAGGCATAAGCTTAATATAAACTATATTAGAGATTCAATGACTTCTCTCCTAAAAACTTTAAAATATAATGAAAAAAAGCAGCATAATCAACAACACAATCATAATCAAAAAGCATTTAATATGAAAATTAAAGCATGTTATCAGAATTGGTTTGCGCATTCTATCTAAACTATAATCTTTCCCAGTTATCTCATCATCTTCAGCACAGAGAACCTAAGGCAATTTCACCAAATAAGCAGATATTTCAGTGATGCATTTGTGACTATAAAGGGCAGAGTGTTTGCTACAGAAAGAAAAGCTTCTTTTACAGAGAGACTATTTATAAGGTCGTATTAACAATTTCAGAGCCTCTTAGTTGGGGTAGAAGAGCCTCATTCAGACCTTACAGCTGCAACTTGTAAACATTTCTGAATCTCAAGAGTCATGAAGCCATTTTAAATTAGTTAAGTATTCCATACATTTATATTCATCACTTTGACACAATTATATTAGGAAAATGACATAAGCATTAATACTTTAACACATATTGTTTTGTATGATTTCTGATATACTTTAAACTGCTTCTAATGGATTCCCTATCTCACCCTCCAAAGAAGCTATCCTCTTTTCTCAAGCCTCTCACATTACCACCCATCCATCTCTCAACCCAAGGACCCTGCCTCTTATTTGACTGAGAAAACTGAAACCATTCAATAGGAACTCTCTCTTTTTCCTTTCTCTTTATTGCAAAACCGTTAACATCCTCCTTCTCTACTCTTTCCTCCAGTCTTTGACAAAGAGGTAGTCCTTTCCCTTGCAAAAAGCCAACCCCTCTACATGTGTACTTGACTTCATTCCATCCTTCCATCCCATGTTCTCCAGTAGACTGCATCTTTAATAATTCCCATCTCCCCAGATCCCCTCAAATTTTCAACCATCCCCTATCTGGTTCCTTACCATGCTCAAGTCTCCCTTCATCCCTAAAAAAAACACTTTCACTACACTCTACCATCCCCTCAATCTATCACCACATATGATATATATGTATACAAATCTACATACAGTATGTATCTATATCTATCTTTTCTCAGCCAAACTCTCATCTTTTGGGACACCATTCTTCCCTTTCTCTCCTCCTACCCTTCTGACCATTTTACTTTCTGTTCCTTTTGCTAGATCATCTTTCAAATTGTGCCCCTAAATGTGAATGCACCACCCTAAGGTTCTGTTATAAATCTTCTCTTATAATCTGTGGGTGAACTCATCAGTTCCCATAGGTTTAACTTCTCTATGCAGAACATCTATATTTCAGCCTCAGTTTCTTCCTTCAGCTTCATCCTTGTATCTCCAGTTGCTTATTGGAAGGACCTTTATGGCTCCTCCCAGAACCTCAATTTAAGGAGGGTACCCAGCCAGCCATGTCTTATTCTTTTTCAGGCTGCGCTCCAGAGTTTTTCTACCATGCACTAGCCCTACCCCCACCCCCTCTCAGTTTTCTAGTAGGTGACTTTCCCATTAGAATGAAGGCTCCTTGAGGGCAGGGACTGTCCTCCTTTCTATTTGTATTTGTATTCCCATCCTTAGCACAATGACTGGCACATAATAAGAGCTTAACAAATGATTACTGACTATTGTTGCCACTATAGCCAATGTAATTTTCCTTAAGTGGACATCTGATCTTGTCGCTCCCTACTCAATAAACTGAAGTGCCTCTAGAATAAAATATCAAATCTGTTTAGCTTTTAAAGTCCTTCACAACCTAGTCCCAACCTATTTTTCTAGACTCCCTCTCACACTCTGCAATCCAGCAAAACTGGCCTCCCTCTGTTTACAAGATACTCCATCTCTCTATGACTTTGAACTGGCTGTTTCCACACTTGGAGGTACTGCTTCCTCATCTCTGCCTCATCAAGTTCCTCTCTTCTCATAAGACACAGCTCAAGCATCATCTCTTGCAAGAAGCCTTTACTGAGTCCTTGTTCTGATTTGCTCCCTAACAAACTATCTTATATTTAGCAACCTTGTATTTATTTATATTTATTCTGTGTGTTTTCATAAATATACATTCTATATATCATGTATCATATTGTTGTGGTTTGGGGTGCTGGGAACCCTGAAATGCAAGAGTACAGGGTGGATCTGCCTCAAAAGAATTCAACCAATCAAGCCTTCTTTCAGTCAGAATAATGAAGTTTTATTATAACACCGTTAGGCAGGCAAGATTTCTAGTAAATCTGCCCTCGTGTTGCCAGTAGCAGTGCATGAGATTCTAAGAATCTGCACAATTTAATGGGGGTAAGATTGGTACTTTTATACAGAAAAAGACTGTGGGAAGATCTGGATGGGATTAAGGAGTGGCAGTAGCCTGGGGTGGCCAGGTGCAGTCAATGAAAGGAGTTAAGTGGTAGGGCCACAATGAAAGGACAGTTAAAAGGATTATTGAGTATCTAGGTAGAAATGTGTGGGAAAGTTCAAGGGCAAAGATATGGTCTTTTCCTTATAGGGGTCCAGGTCCCATCCCCATCATCATCATATAAAAAACATCATACATATGCATGTATGTTTGTTAAATTCCTTATAAGTAGGGATTATGTCATTTATTATATCTGGAGCACATAGTAGGCATTAAATAAATGCTTATTGATTGAAACAGTAATCAAATCTGGAAAGTTTTATGCAAAAGGAATCTTGCTAAATCACATTCTTCCCCATATATTATAATCAAAATTTACATCTGTAATGTACAGATAATCCCTCATCAGTATTTATTGAGGTTCTATCTCCTAAATAGTTCATACTTTTTGCTGCCTTTTTAAAGGCTAGCTATACCACTTTTCAGTACTTCCCACTACTTATACTAGTTTCTAATTACATTTTTTAAAAAATAAAACAAATACTTTAGTTCAAAAGGTTTCTAAGTCAGTTTCCTCATCTGTAAAATTGAGTGGGTTTGATTAGATTATCCATTCCATTTCCAAATCAATGATCGTATGTTTCAACAGGTATATCAGGGGCTAAAAATGCAATTTACATGATCACTGACCTGTGAGGTTCCCAGACCTTTCACAGCATTCAAATCAGATCCTGAACAGAAAGTGTTTTTTGCCCCACAGACAATAAGGCCTTTCCCTTCTTTCCAGTTTTCTAGTTCAATCACCCTCTCCAGAAGCTGTAGCATCATAACTCCTGTTATTGAAAGGGAAAGGAAAATAGAAATAAAGTTTCCAAGGTTAGCAAGTACATTCCAGGTCTTTATTGTCTATGTACTGTACTGGATTGTGGGGGAGATACAAAAGATACAAAAGCCTTAACAGGATTTTTTTATCACATGAAACAGTTGGAAGACAATGCAAGGCAGCATATGATTAAGTGTTAAAATGAGCATTAACAGAGTGTTCATTCAGAAAAGGGAGAGATTATTTTTACAAGAGTGGTTAAAAAAAGAAACTAGGCTAAAGAGAAGATTGAATTAGACCAAAACTCCTTCCTTGGTCTCTAAAGGAATGTAAAGGGAATTGTAGAAAGAGGAAAAAATTAAAACTGAAGTTCCCACCAAGATCTTCTAATGTTTATCTTTTGAATATGCTTATGCTAAAAGTCTTTGGTAACTTTCCAAGTTCACAGTGTTCTCAGTGTGATAAATTCTCATTTTTCCTACCCAAGAAACTGCCTTGGGAGCCAATAAAGAATTATAACAAAGTGATAAATTAAAATGGATTTGGACTAATAAATGCCAAGTTTACTCCAGCCATTGCTTTATCCATTAAACTATAAACTCTTTCATTAGAATGTAAGCCATCTCTCAAGGTTGGAATATGTTCTGATTACTTTCTCTATTATTTTTCACACCACCACCAGCAAATGCTCCATTAAGGATGCTGACTCTGCCTGATTAGTCCACTTCACTTCAGAAACTGAAATTTTTGGAAGTTTTCTTTTATCTTGCAGTTAAAAGTCAATCAGAACAAATATTCACTGAACTCTTCCTAAGGATGAACAGTTCCATACTAGGTGCTTAGCATGATGTAATAGATTAAGCATTGGACATGGAGTCCAGAAGACTTGAGTTTAAATCTTTTCTCTGACATTTACTAAGTTCATGACCACTAAGAAGTCAATTAAATTCTCTGAGTGTCAGTTTCTTTCTTCATCTGTAAAATGAGGAAGTTGGATTAGAGGGCTTCCAAGGTCCCTATATAAGTTCCACTGTCACCTATTTTTTTTTTCAAAGGACGAAGGAATTTAAAAAAAATTGAATTCAGGGCTAACAGATGGATAGCCCAAGTGCTACACTGGATCTATCACTACCTTTGTGATCCTGAGCAATTCACTTAACCTCTCTGGGCCTCAATTTCCTCATCTGTAAAATTAGAGGGTTAAACTAAAAACAGCGCTTCTTAAACTGTGGCTTGTGACCCCATATGGGGTCACAAAAAATTTGGCAACAGTAAAAGGTTTCTGAATGTGCGATGACAAAAATTAATTGAAATCAAATGTGTAATGAATCCAAGGTATTTCTAGCAGTGCTTATCCATATTGCATCGCACAATTTCACTGCAGCCTTGGTCCTAACACAAAGCATGCACAATTTGCACTGTATGTGCCCTCAGGCCATACAACGTCAACAAATGTTGCCCAACCATGAAAAGGGGTCCTGAGTGGAAAAAATTTAAGAATTCCTGAACTAGATGGCTTCTAAGGTCTCTTCCACATCTAAGTCTAAGATCCTAAAAACACAGTCTCTGCTCTTAAAGGTGCTTATTATTATGATAAATGAAATGAAATAGGTAAACATTTGATTAAAATAAATATGATTAAATCAACCAACAAATGCAAAGAAGCAGGAAAGTATGTAACTCAGAACAGGAAATAATATTAAAATAATTTCTTCTTGCCTTTGAAAAATGTAATGTGGTTTCTTTGCTTCAGACTCACTTTTCTAATTATGTTTTTTAGTCTATTACTTAGTCATTACTTTTCATTCCCTGAACATACACCAATTTAAAGTGTGGAAAGTAAGCTCTGAAATGTACTCTATGATAGAAAGAAGTCAATATAAGTTTTTAAAAATCATAATGGAAAAAAAAATAGAAAACATATAACCATTTATATAACATTGATCTCTGAATATAATGTATTTATCAGAACCAAAGCAAGAGAAGCTCAGAGAAGATGGTGTAAGGTTGGATAATTCAATCAACTGATAAGCACTTATTTATTAAATTCCAATACTGTGAAGGTAGAGCTTGAGAAAGGGACCTTGGAAAGCATTTGGTCTAACTTTCTCATTTTATATATGAAGAAACAGAGGCCCAGAGAGGATCTGCTTGAAGACACACAGGTGGTGACAGAGACAGCACTTGAACCTTGGTCCATTGACTAAAACCAGTGGTGCTCTTTCCATATGACTGTAGTGTCTCATATTCTTCCATTAACCTTCAACTAAAGGGGGGGAATCACTAGTACCTGAAAATGCATTCTTTTTACTTGGGTTGTTAAAAGTGAGAATGCCAATGCCACAGTCTTCTTTACGAAGGTCAACAGATCCACCAGTAAACTGCTGAAGTTTCTTTTTGACATCTTCCTCATGGAAACCGTGAGAAGTGCTGTATAGTGGAAATCCAGTTTGTTGTAAGAGTTTTTTTCTTACAGAAAGAGATGAAGTCTTCAAAACAGAAGCAGCCATTTCTGTGGGGGGGGAAAAAAAAGAAACATAGTACAAAACCCAACCATACTATTACCCTTTATTTGAATGTTAAATATCACAATGTCCTGGTGATGAAATTTTGCCTGTTTTCAGGGACACATCCCCATAACTACACACACCCTTCTTGGTAGCAGCAATAGCTTCTTGGCCTTGCCAAGAAAGACTTTCCTCTTCTCTTCTCCCTCCTATACTCATAATCTGAAAACTCAAAATGTGCATAATCTATTTGCCTATGAAAAGATGATTATATAGTACTTTAATTCATTATTAGGCATGCATTATTAGGCTATAAGAAGCATGACAAAGGAAAGGAATATGCTGGTGTTGTATTTATCATCATATTTTACTCCTGACATCAAAAGACCATTTTCCCCACTGTGTCAGAAATCCCCTTCAATCTGGAGACAAACTTCTGGGCTGAGCAGACTCTTGTTGATACAGAATCTTCAAGTCATAATTCTCTCTCTAATAACTTATCCTCATTTTCTGGGACACATGCTATTGGTTGAAGGGATGAATGGTTGGGAAAAGGCATGTGTATGGCTGTTATTGATGGAGGATGAATTTCAGGATGATCAAGTAAATTTTCAATGTACTTTTCTATAGTTTTAAAGAAATCTCCATTATATGAGTTCCCAGAAAGAATTAAGAACAGATGGAAAATATAAGATTACAAAGGTCGCAGCACAAACTTTATTTCTCCCAAGTAAAAGGAGTATGCTTGTTAAAGTGCTGCAGTGGAGCAGCTAATGATATATATTTTATAAACACCTACTCAAAGAGGAATAGGTATCTATGTACAGGGCAGCTGGGTGTTGCAGTGAATAGAGTGTCAGGCCTGGAGTCAGGAGGACCTGAGTTCATATCCAGCCTCAGACCCTTACTAGCTGTGTGACTGTGGGCAAGTCAAATAACCCTGTTTGCCTCAGTTTCCTCATCTATAAAATGAGGTGGAGAAGGAAATGGCATACCACTCCAGTATCTCTGTCAAGAAAACCATAAATGGGATCACAAAGAGTTTGACACAACTAAACAACACAACCACAAACGCAAAGAGGTTATCACAATCAGTATATAAAGATATGCAGCCCCAAAGAGGTTGTACTTCCAGATTTCATGAACAAATTTAAGAAAAAAACAAAACAAAAAAACCTGATTATCACCTGCTGAAATTATTTATGTGATGCTGGTAAAAGTAGTTACTAAATCTTATCATAGAGACTAGAATGGCTCAAAATCTCATCAAGAACACTAAAAAGGAAACAAGCTTTGATTTAAAAATAACATGATAGAAACAACAACGAGGGTGATCGTCTGCTTAGAGTCTGGAAAAGGGAGTCAGAGTAGCATGAGTATACTGTGGTTTAAACAAATCATGATCTATCCTCCGTCTTGGTGCAGAGTTGAGCAATTTAAAAGGCCTCTAGATTTGTGATCCTCTGTTCTTTCCTACAAACATTCTAATACAAGAGTAACCTTTTTTGTGTTATGGAGCCTTTGGCAGTCTGGTAAAGACTACAGACCCCTTCTCAGAGTAATGTTCTTAAATGTATAAAATAAATACACAGAATTACAAAGGAAATAATTTTTTTTATATCAAGTTCAGGAACCTCCTAAAACTTATGAACAGATCCCTTTAGGAGACCTGTGGAATCTCTGCTCCAAAAGGTTCTGCTGCAGGTGTTGCTGCTGTGGTTCATGAGGCAGTTGATCCTGGGCAGTGATTGGGAGCTGTAGGTCTGTGCTGATCAGACTATTTTTGGTGAGATGACTCACCACTTCTTAGACATAATATCCCTCCAAGTCAAAGGAGTATAATGCAGATATAGCATATATGCAGAGCACCTGGAATGGCATCTCTCCACATAGAGGTTAAAGAGTATCATGACATGTAAAGAAAATCTTGGAGACTGGAGAATGTATAGATATTCTAGAACCCATTTTGGTCAGCTAATCACATTGTGAAGTGCAGGTTCTTTGATTGTCTATAGAAGCACTCAAAAATGAACCAGTCATTCCCTATTTTGCCTCATTTATTCTTGGGGGGCTGTCTCAGTGACTCTTTACCTCAACTTCTGAGATTGTTAAGAGGCCCTCTCTCAAGGCCATGTGGTCCTTGGCCTCTCTGTTCCTTTTTGATTGAAAGGATTAAATTGATTCTGTATCATTTTTAATTGATCCTATTTACAGTTAATTCATTTTATCCTGTAACTGCTTCAGTGATGTTTCTTGGTCTCTGAATTTAGCTGGTCCGTAATGAGTTAAGTTTAGAAATCCAGTTCTCTTGCTAATCACTGTTCTATTCTTGCCTCAAGGAATTTGGCTATCCTTTGCAGAACCCAGTGGACACCAGGGAGTCTGGTCTAGTATCTTTACACCACCAAGCTATCCCTTCAAGGATATCTGGTTTGCTGTCCAAAGAAGTCTAGTCCACTATCTTTTAACCTTGTGAGTAGACTGAAACAATGAATTTTTCTTAGTTACAGGAGGGAAGGAGAAGGGATTTGCTAGCCCCTCATTTCCAACTTCCAACCAATCATACTGCTCCCCATGCCTCAGCTATGTAACCAATCACCCTTGTCCTTAATGCCATAATGTCACCTATCCTGTTCTGTTATGTGTTCTAACTTTATAAAAATGAATTAACTCTTCATCTTGGGGTCTTTGGCTTAAACTGAGGCAAATCCATTGACCCATTCTTACTGGCAGGGCAGGTTTGCACCATATTAATAAAATGTTATCTTGCTCAAAGAGAACGTGCCTTATGAATGTGCCACATTCTACCTTTGTTGAATTTTACTTGAGATATGATCCAGGTGAAAGGAGTAGATCCTCCACAGCCCAGTAAATTTCAAAAGGTCAGAGGCTACCTAAGTATTCCAGTGTTCCAGGATCCAAGAGCTTAGTTTTAGAGCCAGTGCTGCATTGTTGCCCCAAGGAATAAAGAGGAACTTTCAGGATGAACTTGGCACTCCAGCCCAGCAGTAACTGAGACAAGGCCTCAACTGACAGATCCCTGAATCATGACACGTGTGGATGTGAAGTATGCACCCAGGTTGAATAGTTAAAAGGAACTGGAGCCTAGTTACAGGCCCCCTTAACAATGGGGCAAAGAGAGCTAGTGGGGCCTTAAGTTAAAGCAAATAAAATGCAAAATGCACCCTATTAACTCCTCAGGGTGTGATAGGATCTTGGAACAAATGTAGCCACCTGGGTCAAAGAGTGAGCCAGAATGTATAAATTGTAAGAGAAAATACATGTTCTAACTTTATTTTTTCCATATACAGTTCTCCTTTCCACATTGTGGGGATTAGGGGCACGGTGCCCCTGCGATCTGGAAAATCAGAGTAGAATTTTTTTGGTCCTTCTTTGTACCAGAGAAGTCTGAAGGTTTTTTCTTTTTCTTTTATGGGATGTAAAATTTGGGTTATTATATAATAATGCTATACATATATATACATATATATATATATATATACTATATACATATACATATATAGTATATACATATACATATATATACTATATACATATACATATATATATACTATATAATACTATACATATATTTTATGCATTTCTGAGTTTCTAAATTTTTTCAGTGTTATCTGAGAGCCTCCTTGGGTCTTCTGCAGCTTCTGCAAAACTCCCCTAAAATTCCCATTAATTTCTTATGCCAACCTGCCATATATTGAAACTGTGATGGGGAAAATCCCAATATGGAAGGGATAACTGTATTATATTATTATTATATTTCCTTATATTATCTTCCTCCCTAAACCTCTCTACCCTCCTCTCAACTTCTCTTGAGTATACCTTCTTTTCTTCTCTGATATTATCACTGCTCTGTTACTGGACCTCATCATGTCATGTTTTGACCACTGCAATAAACTGATAGTGAAAATGCTTGCCTCAAGTCTCTACCTACTCCATTCCATCCTCCATTCAGCACCCAAAGTGATTTTCCTAAAGTGCAGATATAACTGTCACTTCCTTACCTAATAAACTTCAGTGATTCCCTCAAATACAAAATCCTGTTTGGCATTCCAAGCCTTTCATAATCTACCCTCCCACCCACACCCACCTTTCCAGTCTTCTTACATTTCTCTTTTCAGTCTAGTGACACTGGCCTCCTTGCTGTTCTGAGACTCCATCTCTACACTCCAGGTATTTTCTCTGGCTGTCTCCCTTGTCATCCTCATCTCTGCCTATCGGTTTCCCCAGCTTCCTTCAAGTCCTAACTAAAACCCTTCTTCTACAGGAAGCCTTTCTCTACTCTTAATTCTAGTGCCCTCCTTGTTCTAATTATTTCCAAATTATCTAGTATATAGCTTGTCTGTACATATTAGTCTTCCTACTGTCTCCTCCATTAGACTGTGAGCTCCTGGAGGGCAGAATCTGTTTTTTGCCTTTTTGTATCCTCAGTGCTCAGAACAGTGCCTAGCACATAGTAGGTGCTTAATAAATGTTTCATGACTAATTGCTATACTTGGCAGTGCCCTGCTATGATTGCAAATATCTACAAACTGCCCCCTTCCCTATTTATTCCTATTGTTATCTAAAGATATTAATGGCCTTTAACTGTCCTGTGGCTAATGATGCCAGTACTAATGACAATTTGTAGGAAAGGGCAGTCTAAGAAGAACAGAAGACATATGTAGGGAGATGAGGATTAGGAAAGAGGTGAGAAGTCAGTAATGATTTCTCCCCTGGGAAACCACAAACATGTGATGTAACCTTGGGTATTACTTAGCCAACTTGAAGTTTATTTATAGGACAGAGTCTAAGCAGAGAGATTAATATCCTGAAGTGAATAAAATCTCTTAGATATAGTGAAGACAAACTCCTTGGATTGAAGCCAGCCCAGGCCAAGGGAGAGAACATCACTTTCCTGTCTTCCATGTGTACCATGTGGTTCCCTTTAAGGAATCCTTTACCAATATATTCATTGTTCCTTCCAGACCTACTTCCCTCTCCCTCT